CATTTGTGCCCATCGAGCCCGAAGTTACAGCAAGGGATCTCCACAACCAGAAGCGATTTTTGTTCTGGTGTATTATGCAAGCCATTGTACCCCAGACAGCCACAGTACAAAAGTCAGTCGACGACTGTAATCAACACAATTATATTTGCTGAATCTAATAGCTCTTTTGCGAGAAAGATTGGGCCCATGACCCGCGGCACGCGGCAGGAGGGAACTTTGGACTGTGCCGTTTCGGTGTTGAAAGTGATGTTGCTTCTTGATGATCTCAAAGCCCATGCTGGTTCGAGAGAGACCATTGCTGGAGAAAGCTGGAGTCGTGTCGAACGAGATCCGCAATAAGAAACACGTATGATTAACAGCGTCCCTGGCTGTCTAAACTTTATTGTTATCAGAAGCAGTTGATTCTGAACACATTCCTTGGAATAGAGTTGTTGGTGAATCAGGAACTACATGATATGTCTGGGATGTAGATCAGCGTACGGGCTTGCAGTGAGAAGCCAGCTTATGGTATCAGTCCGAAGTCGAATACAGAAAGCAGTTTACTGGCGATAAGAAACTCTCAATATAATCCCCAAGACTTATAGCGTTCATGAAAGGGAATCATAAACAATGCCTCCCATGGAAATTGCCGCTTTGATTACAATGCAGCAACACAACTCCATTGACACCTGAATAGAATGCCTGATTCTCCGAGTCATCTTATCTAAACCAACATGTTGATTCCATTATGCGCTCTAACAAGGCAAAGTTCAAACGGCGCATCTGAAAAGAGATGCCATAAAACTTAGCCAGAGGCTTCCCGGGGCGGATGATCTCTCTAGTGGCTGCACTTCAGAACATGCCCATACGGACGTATGTACTGCAGGTAGTACAATATTGGAAGAGAAGAAGTACGACACTCTCAAATATTAGACACACAATATGAGAGATACTGTTGGATTACGAGGCAGAAAAGGGGCCCAATTAGACAGTTAGTAAGGGGTGGTAGGTAGGCAGTTTGGGCCCGTGCAGACGGACCCTTCCACCTACTTCCACCCACCGAAGGATCGCGGGCTCTGCCCACGATCTTCCTCTCCTACACACTCAATACGCGCAAATGGACCCCCGATATTAACCTCGTCGCGACCGAAAGGTCTGACCTGCCTACGTGTATGCCAACAGATACCATCGTAAAATAGCTAATGTGAGGCAGGCCGGGCCGTTTGCTGATGTAGATAAATGTATTGTAGTGGCACTAAATGATAAGGTCATTGCTGGTGCGTTGTATCAGCTATGGCATAGTAAATGATATAGATACTTTGCTTCGTAGACCGTACACCAATGCAATCTTGATTTGTGCTCACTCAGGTACGCGCTGTCGCTCTTTCACACATAATGCTGCTTCAGTACATATTTCATTATCTGTGCTACAAACCGTAACCAATCGAAGTTAGAGATAATGCACCTTCAGAGATGCATGGGGGTTACAGCTTACCGCCTCACTTTTCTGCAGAAAACGCCACTTATATGAGATGGAAATGTACGCGCAGTCACGAGCGTGTAATTGCAGACTCTCATTGGGCTGGATCTACACCACCTTGACCCATTCATGGCACAACCGCAGCAGGCTACGATGACACGTCACTGTCGGAAACTTACGTTATTGAAAGAGGAGATGTAGCGTACGTGAAGTTGGGACATTCGATAGTATTTATACAATAGGATGTTCTGCTAGATCCGGACAATTGCCTTCGGTATCTTTTGATAGAAACTCAAATCGCTGAAACAACCACAGCCATGGGGAAATTCACTACTTTCATGTCGTTGTTCACAAAGGTCCTAAAGCCTTCGAAAAGAGTGCTAAGAGAGACTACGAGGACGGCCCTCCCGGTCGTGCAGACGATTACCGCCACTCGTCAACTACAAACCCAAGGCCGCATGGGGAAGACGGTCGTCAACGCGGCAGGAGAAATCAAAGAGGCCATAAATGGTCTTAGTGTCATCAAATCGACGCCTGAAGTTCAAATGATGTGCGACTCGTGTTGCTCCATTGGCAGGGCCACGAAATACTTTGAGAGACTCGCGGAGAAATTCGGTCCCGTCGCCGGCCTATATCTCATTTATCAGGGTGTCCAGGCCCTGGAAATGATTGGGGCGAGCCTAAAAGACATCGCGTCTACGTTGGGCGCGCAGACAGCTCTGAAGGCGCACAAGGACTTCTCTCGATATGTCTACCAGATGTTGCAACAACGGATCGGGCAGACTGCTCATGACTTGGATCGTGATCACTGGTTTTTCGTTTATCATCCGGATAATGACTGGTATCCCGACTTTTATGAACGAATCCAACGAAAACCTATCAGCCCCAGGTTCATTGCACACACGCACCAGCTCGATACTGTTTTCATCTTGATGCTAGCTGCTAGGATGCTGCTTCGACGCAGAGCAAATTCAGGTCAAGATCAGGGCAACCGAACTCGGAACGTCGCTTTTCATCTCTTGATCCCAGCATACCGACCGATGTTCCTGGCCGAACCCGTCAAGATCCCCGAAGACATCGGAGATTTCGTCATTGAGGGCCGAATTCATCATGGAGACAAATTGGTGCATATCAATCTACCCGAGGAAGATATTGGTTATGTCAATTGTATCGAATTGCGTTCGCCCAATGTAGGGTGGTTCGACTGGGCCCTGTCGACGCTCGGCTGGGCAGAAGAGCCGCGTCGCAGAGTCTTAGGGCGGGAGCCTCCACTTTCGACGTAGCCCTGATGAATGGAAGATCAACATGAACACCGAGGAACGCATTACAATTTGGAATTATATTATGCTACAATAATCATCTTTTACTTTCCAATCTAATTTTTCCTAAATTCTCGCTAAAATCTGGCTGCCGTAGTCTAGAAGTAAGTTTTACGAGTGCAGCTGGGTCACACGCCCCCGTGGCTCGGCAAGTAGCACTCGAATTCTACCTTCATAAGAAATATGCGCGAATCCTTTTGATGTAAAGCTAGTCAGAGAACGATAATATACGGCAAACAGTCTCAGTTGTGTCATCTCCTGACGGCGGCAAGACTTGGGATTTCGGCACTCTCAACATTCCGGCGCAGAAGGCCGAAGAATGGCTGGACATTTAGTTTGAGCTATTGATGGATTATTTCTTTGTCTCCGCACATGTTTACAAACAAACAGAACTGTATATACATTCAAAACGTTTGCAAATGATGTCTCACGCCACAGGCTCATGAAACATCCATTTCCACTACGAAATCAGTCATGTATGAATATAGATTTTGAGAACCGGACTCTCTCGGCCATTGACACGGCGTTGTCTTTTCTCATATCCGATTATCCAAAAGCGCCAGCACTTGAAGTCCAATCTTCCGATTCACCTTGCAAGGTTCTCACTACTTCAGGACTGTGATTCGGATCGGTGCTTGTCCACCATTGACAGATACCAGCTCGTAGCCAAACATCCAAAGTTTCCGAGATCCCAGACTGGCCACTGAAGGGAACAAGCAAGAGACCTACTGGCATGCTCCAGTCGTTGGGAGGTGCTTTAATCTCTGCGAGGCCCAGAAGTAAGAGAACTGCGTCTGGGTGCTGTTGACTGAAAGCAATCGCTTCTTTGCGCGCAAGTTCAGGGCCATGGACGGCGGTCCATTGTTCTGGGCCATCCAGGTCAATGCTTCCGCCGGTCCATCCCGCTTTGGTATTCCAAATTTCGACCAGCTTGCTAAATTTGCAGATCTCGCCTCTGAAGTGGCCCCAGTTAACGCCTTCGAGAGTGACGGTCGAGAGCTTTGCCTTTACGGACATGGCATCAAAGACTGACTTGCCGTCGCCATAATTTAGACGCCTTGTAGGTTGAGAGTCTTGGGAGATTCTCCATCTCTTCCCAGGCTGGGGAGGAATCTCAAAGATATGCATCTGGCTCATAATAGGTTCCCGGATGAGCAGCTCTCGACCGAGCTCATCCTCCAGTTCTGCAAGCGAGAACTCGACGTGCGGGTCACAGCCCGGTCTCGACTTTCCCAACTGAAACCCAAATATCTGCATGATCCCATACACACGATCTGTGGCGCGAGTCGTGGTTCTATGGCGAGCAGCCCCAAGTAAGGTAACTGGGAGACTTGATCGGAGGCCGGTCATACCGCTGCGCTCGATTGAGCGCTTCAATGCTAGCAGGTACTTGTCGGTCGTCTCGATGGTCTGCGGCTTTTTCTCATGTGAGGTCACAATGGTCATCATGTGGTCGCAGTAGTCGATGAAGTCGCTCAACAACATGGGACGTTCGGCAGGGTTGTCAATCTCAGACGGGCTCATGAGCTCTCCCTGCCTGGAAATGAACACCGTTTGAGGACAGAGATAGGCTTCTTGCAGCGTCCAGAGAGACGAGAACCATGGGTCCAGGCTCAGAAGTTCGATCTCTTGCCTAGTGCCGTCTAAACCGCGTTGAACGCGCTCAATGCCACTCTTTGCCTCAGCTCGTGATGACTTGGCCTGCTGTTGAAGCTTTTCAATCTGTGACAAGTATCCCTGACGGGAAAGCTTCGTCAACCATGCAAACGTGTGCGTGGCTCCCTTGAAGATTTTTGCTTGACGGCCAACCTCCAAGGACATTTCTGCCGATCCCCGCGTCTGGTCAATGCAGGCCACGTCCAGCCAGACGTAGTGGATTTGAGGGACCGGTTCGCCAGGATTATCGAAAGCTACTTATCGTCAGCGAAGCGTTCACACGGCGTTAAGGTTTACCCTTTTGTATATTTTGACTTGCCTCTGACCTCCACTGAGAGCTTCAAAGCTGATCTCAGCAGATTCTCCATTTCTCCCATCCTAAAATGATCTGGGTCTACTCGTGGCATTTCCCAGGTAACGCCTTTGACTGGGAGTCCTTTCACATCTGGATGTTGTGTCGCACTCTTCAATCGCCATCTACCCCAGGTGTACGAAATAGCGATGTACTTAGGGGCGCGATCGTTTCCGTAATAATTGCCAGGCGCCCACTGCATTGATGTCATCGAAGGTACATGCAGTAGCCGGCGCGGCCAGGCGCAGTTATCGTCGAAATCCGGCATTACGCACGGTGGAGTTGAGGTTGATGCTTGGATGATTTCGTCGCCGTGGCCGTCTTTGGAACATCTCAGCTTTCATACCCCTCTTTTTGATGCCTATTGATTGCCTTGAATGGGCGCGTTGTGGTCCGCAGTACCCTTGGTCGTGGCGGACACCTGTCATCCCGACTACTGGCTTTGATTGGTAGGGTTCCCTCAGCTGAGGTGCAACTAGCTGCTTCTGGGTACAGCATATTCTCAATTTGATACTGAGCTTTGTGTCAGTAGAGAAGCTGGGTCATTGACCTTATCTCCTTTCCTTTGGTGTATCTCATTACGAAGCAGACACTGATGTTGTCAAGCCGAGGCGAAGTATCCAGTGCCTTCTTTGAAGGGCAACGACACACAGTTGGAGGAAATTTCCATGCCACTTTATGTCGACGAATTGAATAAAATGAAGAAAGAAAAAACAGTGAGTTGTTGAACCGGAAAGTTCTTGACGAGCTCTCTTGGAATGTAATTGAGTACAGATGGATTCACATTCATCTCAGTCATAATGATTCTTGACTTCCAGCCCCTTGAACTGGAATGATGTCCCTTCGCGCTTATCAAGCACCTTCTTGTGATGCACATCCTTCACTCTTGCCCGCACGTACTCTGTCCCTGATGGAACTGGCCTGCTCAGGTCTCGGTCTTCCTCTCTGATCAAGCCAAGACGATCCAGGAGGGGTGATGGCAACGTTCTCATCGGCGTGTGGTCCCCAGGTCGACTAAAGTATAGAAGTCCCAGCCGAGGAATATTGATTTGGTCTTTGGGAGGCTTGACTACTCGATGAATCGTTGACTTGATAAATCCTGCTCGGGGTCAGAGTGAATCTCAACGCTGATGGATCAAGAACACCACTTACCGTTTGTGAGGAACGTCAAAGTGTCTGCCGCGTTGCACGTAATACCACCCTCCACGGGCTTCACATACTTCCAGTCCCCTTCTGGTGTCCTGATTTGCAGACCAGCAACATGTTGAGAGAACAGGAGGGTCAAGCTGCCGAAATCTGTATGACCGCCCGTTGAGAAGGCTTGCGCTTTGTCCCATTCCTCTTCAGTCCGGACGTTGTAGATCATGTACCGCAAATGATCATCCGATACTTGATCATAGGCATGCGCATCAGCGAGATAGTTTTCTGGGAGCTCCAAGATAATAGCAATGAGAGAGAAGAGCTTTCGTGCAACTTCCCAGACGTCGCGGTGGAAGTCTCGAATCTCATCCCAGTTCTCTTCAACAACCCGATGACGACCGACGCCTTTCCACGCTGGGATGTCCTTGTGGATGTTGAGCTAAGTCTTCATTAGACACTACTATTCCGATACCTTAGTAAGCAACGAACCGGCGCCTTACCATCTCAATGTTCTCCTTCACACCCGTATCACCAAGCCATCTCTCGTTCTCCCTGTATCCAAAGTACTCGCCTTCCGCAAAGTTGCATGGATAAGTGCGCTTTTCTTCGAGTGGCTCTCTGAAGAATGTGTTTCCAATGCTGAATTGACGCAGGACTCGCTCATCGTCGATGCCGGTGCCAGTGACAACCCAGAACCCAACTCGCGAGATGGCATCGTATAGTTGTTTCGCTAGTTCCTGCTTGCCACCTGGCTCATCGAAACGTGAAAGATCAATAGTGGTGAGAGGCGCCCAGTCTAGATCTTCTGTTGTTGGCTGCGGTCGGGACCAGGGCTTGACCAGCAGCTTATCGGTATTGGAGGGTGGTGGTGATACTGCAGAGGGAGCCATGATGTGTATTGCCGGTTTAAACGGAACAATGCGAGATACAGAATTGGGATACTGCTGTTTGGACTCAATTAAATCTTCTCTCAGCACCTTATAGAAGTCCATCGCAGGATTCCATGCTTGATGGCTTACTGACACCCACGCGGGGTCGACACATGATCGGCCATGGCGTGCTCGGGAACCCCAACAACGTGCTCGTCATCATCAGCCAACGATCTTACCAGACACTCCCGAATACTACCCCAGATTATCATCTACTAGGCAAGTTCGATCAAGACGTGCTTGAATGATAGAAGAAGACGGGGAAATGTTACCCGGAAATCGGGCATAGTCCGAGAGATGTTGTTGCCGCAGTTATCATCCAGGATCAATGAAGAATGACAGGCCTTCAATCTTCAACTAGGATTGGATGAGAACACATATCGCCATCTTGGTTATCATGTCGTGATGAGTGCAAAGTCGAAACGCCAGGGTAGATATCCGGCATCGGTCATTGATGGTTCGTGAACCTTCGCTCTTAGAACTAAGATTGAAACATAAGCGAAAAAGTACTGCTACTGGTTAGCTATAGAGATTTTAGCTTCGCATTGAGTCGTGTCAATTGATATTCTGGTTCTTTTCGGTGCTTCGCGACGACGTCTAAAATGACCACCTCAGGAGAGCCTATCAAGACATTGGCCTACGTTGCCGACCACATACAGACCTTTCCCGAAAAGACGACAAAGACAGGGAGCATAGATGTCTCCGATCCAGAAACCGAAGAAAGCAACACTCGGTCCGAGTTTGAGAAGAAACTCTTGAGAAAGATTGACCTCTGGCTCGTGGGTTTCTACTCTCTCGTCTACGTCTTCCGTGTCATCGACAGCGCAAACTACTCCAATGCAGCTATCATCAACCTCGAGGCCGGCACCGGCATCAAGAAGCAACTCGGCCTCAACCCATCACAATGGGCGTGGACGCTTTCAATCTTCTCATACAGCTATCTCATCTTTGAGCCCACCAACACGATCTTATTGAAGCTGTTCAGGCCTTCGAGATGGATGTTCATACTGATAATGGCATGGGGCGTTTCTGCGTGCTGCTCCGCCGCGGCGATAAACTTTTCAGGCATGATGTGTGTTCGTTTCGCGATCGGCATGGCTGAGGCAGGTTTTTTTCCGTCAGTGTTGTATCACTATGCGTTCTGGTACAAGCCGGAAGAGATGCCGCAGCGCATCGCCTTCTTTTACTCCGTCGGTCAGGTTTCTAGTGCGCTGTCGGGACTGTTGGCCTACGCCATTTCGTATATGGACCAGCTTGTTAACGTGTCCGGGTGGCGGTGGCTGTTTATCCTCGAAGGGCTGCCGGCTATCTTCCTTGCGTTCTTTGCGTTTTGGTTGCCTGACTATCCGGAGTCGGCCAAGATGTTAAATGAAGAGGAGCGACTGTATATGAAGCAGAGACTTGCCAGCTCTGTGCCCAAGGGAGAAGCGAGTTGGGACTTCAAGTCTTTGAAGGTCATGGCTCGAGACCCGACTCTATACACATTCAGTTTGTACTGGATCTGCCATGGTATCGGGGGGTTCGGGGTCGGGTTCGCGTTGCCGACTGTCATTTATCAGCTGGGCTTCACGACTACGGCTTATTCTCAGTTGATGAACATTGTAAGCACGCGCTTGATCTTAGTCATGTCGAGGGATTTTGACTGATGTCATATAGCCTCCGTATGTTTCGGCCTTCTTACTTCTGAACACGTTGGGCTTTATGCTTCAAAGAAAGTGGATCAGACCATGGGTGACAGCCGTAGGAAGTAAGTCGCCTAGAGAATCACCTAGACGTAGCGCGCAGCTAACGGACGCAGTTGAATCAACAATTATCGTATGCTATATCATTCTTCTCTTTGTCGATAACCCGGTGGTGCGCTACATCTGCTTGATCGTCTCCGTGGCCTGTGCTGGGTGCGCGTACCCAGTAATCTGGCCGGAGCGCATCAGAGCACTTGAAGGAACCGTGGCATCTGGGATCGGTATTGGCATGACAAATGCGTGCGCTCAATTCGGGTACGTCCAAAACGATTCCTAATCGAGTAGCCTTTTCCTGATCCTTATTTACAGCGGTATTGTCGGCCCACACGTATTCAGCACGGTGTTCGGCCCTAGATATCGGATCTCGTATGCGGTCAACTTGTCGGTACTCGTGGTTGGTATCTGCTCGATTCTGACAAGTTGGCTTCTCGCTGTTAAGAAAGACAGAAAGCGCTTGGCATAAGGCTGAGGTGATCTAAGATGTGAGCTTGATGGTTCCGTCAGGAGACTGGCTGGCAGTCGGAGTCCCGCCCGTAGATCGAACTCCGTCCAACAAAGGTGGTTTGTCGTCGAAACTCGGGACAATCCTACAAAGCCGGTTGAAAGGGGCTCTTTGAAGCCTTGGCAATGATGCAAAAGGACCCAGGGATTTGGGAAGAGGAAAGGCCCGTTGGCCGATTAGCATCATATATGGGATCAATTGCAACCATGAAGTATCGAAAACGGCAAAAGCTCCTGCGCAGAATAGCCAGTAAGAGGCAACTAAACAACAACTGCGGAAAATCTTAACACCTTCAGAGATACTCACTTGGTGCGGCTTTCGAAAGGTCGTTGATGCCGTGATGATGTACTAAGTCAAGGATTCGACTTTGAGGACCTTGATGGCCCGGCCCGCCTCTTCGCGCCTGGGCAAACGCAGGCCTGACATGGGTGCCGCATTACGAGATCAAACCAGAATCCAACCACTCCTTTGACTGGAGCTTGAGGTACTACATGTGGCGAGGTGATCCTTGAAAGATCGATTGACGGTAAACAGAACCGGGCAGGTTGAGCATGTGCCAAGTCGAAAGGGAGGGTCAAGCACGTTGTGATACCCCGTACGGAGTAGTCTCCGCGGATAACCTGACTTGCGTAGTTTCTTGGCGAACTGGCCTGGCTGAATTGATTGCAAACAACAAAACAATCAACCAACGCCTTGGAAGGACCAGTCAATTTTCATAATGGTAGTTTTTTTCCGTGCCAAGATTCGCCAGGAGTTGCTTACCTTAACACCTTGATGCTCATTCTGTGCCTGGGGTTCAGGCGATTCGTCTTGGCGGTGGACATTCGTAGCTTATTCGCTTGAACACAAAACCATCTTTATAAATCTCGCATGTTCACAGCCTTTTCACAGTTTGTTCCATCTCCACGCCTATGCCTACATACACTCGTTGATTATTGACAATCATTCGCGATCGGTCACCTTGATCCATACCAAAGTTCGCCTGACATCCATCCGAAATTATCAACATGAAGGCCTCTCAGATTCTTTCCATACTCGGCTTTGCTGCCTTTGCTCTTGCTCAGAGCGAAAGCCTGGCTCCTTCACCGACGGAGAGTGTCGGCTGCGAGCCTCACGGTGACCACTGGTAAGCTCAGATTTCCACTTCCGACAGCAGTTGACGCCATTCTCACATTCGCCTTTAGGCACTGCGAGGGCGCGCGCGCCACCACCGCCGCAGCAGTTAGCGGAACCACCCTCCTCACAAGCGTTGCTGCCGCGACCACCACCGCCACCGAGGACCACGATCACGACCACGATGACGACCACACTTCCGGCACTGGCAGCCTTGCTCCTTCTCCCACTGAGTCTGTCGGCTGCGAGCCCCATGGCGACCACTGGTACGTTTAGAATATACTGACTTCCTTGCCGCCTCAAGATGATCTAACGCATCAGATAGGCATTGCGATGCTGCTGCCACCGCCGTCTCTGGCACCGCCTCTGCCTCGGGCACTGGATCCGCTGCCGTCACCACTACTGCTGCGGCTACTACTGGCGCCACTGGAACTACTGCCGCTGGCAGCGCTTCTCCCAGCTCTACTGCCGTTCCTGCCGGAGCTGCTCGCGCTGGGTTTGGTGCTGCTGCCATCGCTGTCGCGGTCATGGCTTTGTAAGGGGTTCGTTGATGAAAAAAATGGATTATGTGCCTTCTGGGCATCTACGGATACACGAATTGGGATTCATGAACATACATTGGATGGGGTGTCGGTATGACGGCTGTAGTAGGACAGCGGGCAGGCCAAATCGGGGAAAACTTCGAGAAGCTGGGCCACCTAAGGGCATTTCTCTTCCCTTCCACTCCAGATGGAGATGGGCTTTAATTGTAGCATGGAAACAAAATACGCATTGCCAGACTACACATGTTCCCTACCTCGTGCCCGCGATCATCAGCCACTGAAACACCTGCCCCTGTCTTGGCTTAATTTTGACATTTGGAACTGCACCTATTGCATAGAAGCTCAGGCACGGACACAGTGACAGACCCGACAGGCTGGTTTGAGTCTAGACAGCGGGAAGTCAATACCTGCAACCATGCGTGAACCGTTGGCATGCTGCTAGTCACGTCACCAGTGAGGATCTTCAGCCGCTGGTCTTTGCATGATTGTGTTACAGGAGTGATGGTGACTTCACTGAGCATGGTGTGGCTGACTACATCACGAAACGGTCTGGAGTTATCGTCTTTACTACGCAGCCGAGATTGCTTCCTTCATTCGAGCCCAGTCTCATTAAGGCAGCATTGGTGGCCAGAGTCGTCTCATCCAGCATCGATAGATCCTCGCCGGAGGGAATACTATGTGTCATTCAGAGGTTCACAAGCGCCAACACGTGATATTGGCCGAAGGAGCGCGCAAAAGTGCCTGCCGACGGTGACTCCTCTGCAATACGAGCCTATGGGCCTGCAGTAAGGCAATCTTGGCGTTGAAGATGGACGACCGATACGGAGTATGAGGAGCTGAATTCGAGAGGCTCCGAGGACCCTTAGCTAAAGCAGAAAACCTCGAAAAGCCCTCATCATGATGGTGGTTGGTCGACCCGGTCTACTTTATAGAAGTCTTGGCATGCAGGCGTCGCCACTTATAACCATCAAGGTCGGAGGGGAAGCTGAACCACAGTCGGGTGTGAGTGAGTGAGTGAGAGAAATGACAAGCAAAGGAGGGACGTTGCGGGAGGCCATCAAGGTTCTTATTTTGACGTGCATGTGGGGGGACATGTGGGCGGTACGTACCGGGTGAAAAGAGGCATGTGGACCCGACGTTAAGCCCCTTCAGCTGGTCTGTGCCCAATCAGAGCGGGTCCTCAGAGACAACAAGCAGGAAACACCCACTGGACATCGTGACTTCCTGTCTTGGCTTCTCCATCAGCGTTGCTTCCCATCTCGCCAGCTGCTGCCTTTCCCTTCCTTCCCTCTCCTGCCCCATGGCTGGCCATCCGGGTGCTCAGCCTTGGCGATGGGTCTCTCAGCCTTGGCAAACAGACCGCGTCGTCTTATGCTTTTTTTCGTCTCTTTTGGCTTCCCGCTTTTTCTCTCGACAAACACCATCGGTCCACTTACTTTGGACGACAGGGGCTTGTGATGCCCACGTTTCCATGGTTCCCTCGGGCTGCGGTGGCTCCTATCCCAGCGGATGCCATATCGATCTGACTATGGAATATGCTACGAATGTGGGCTGAAAAATTGCCTCGACCGTCATTGGCGCGCAGCAAGCTGCATCAAGCTACGATACCATGCCCACGGGGAACCAACCTTAGAGTCATCCGACAAGGACAAGGTCAGCCGCCGCGACCGAGGGCCAAGACAATGAAAGACAAGCTTGGGCCGTGGAGACGCGCAGAGGAACCTGACAACGAATTATCGGAAGCTATTGCTTTGTTGCGTTAGAAGAAAAGTGAGCAATCCGCCCAGGAGGGGAACCCGAAGGAGCAGAACAATGGATGGCATATCCGCGCATATTCAACACGGCCAACTGGCAGGGATCCCATCCGCCGCATCGAATTCTGTTTTCAGTCTTTTCCACTCAATCGAACCTGCGCATGCTTACCGCGCAACTCGCAACACCCTACGCCTGGTATTCGCCTGTCTTCCTCCAGCCTCCCTGCCATCTTGTCCCTCTTGAGAAGTTCTCCCGCTGCAGAGACTTCTTCTTTCCTCGTCCACGTCCTAATACGCCATCCCATCACCCTGAGGGACTACACTGGCCAGACATACCGGCTCGGCGAATTGACTTCCACACCTGAACAACTTCTCTCAAGGTGCTCACTCTCCTCGCCTCTCCTGACGGGTCGTCCTTCAGACTCGCCACCTTGACAAGAAACTCTCTTCCATAAAACACCCAGACGAGAAGCACCCTGCCGATAAGCGCAGCTTGACGCTTCCTGCAACACCATCCGCTCTTGGATTTCGTCCGGAGAAATTTAGCCCTGTCCGCCCAACTCAGCACAGACAAGGCCCAGGCTCGCTTCTACCTTATCACTGGCAGCTTCTTCAACATCTAGATTCGGACGCCATGGTCAGATTCACTCCCGCTGCCGCCGTTGCGGCTCTTCTGAGTACTACCTCGGCCTCCCTTGTCGCACGGCAAACGGCTGCTAGCACCACTACCACGGCTGCTGCGTCTGATCCTACGGCCATCTCTCAGTGCTCAGTTGCCTCGTCCACTCAGTAAGAACCCTTAGTAGCTTCATTACTGTTACGCCGCCAAACACCTGCTCATACTTCATCTACTTCAGGATCTGCAAAGCTGGAACGACAGAGTTCACAGTCGTGTCTACCCCTACTGGCACACTGCCCAGTTCGTATACAGGATGCCACAAGCATGCCACTGACTTGTAAGCTCATTCAATGCCATGTCAGCAACACATTCTAACACTATTGACACCAGGTACTGCTTCTATCCGGATGGCGAGGTTGAAGTCGTGGCCGCTAATGCGCCCGCTGCCACCGCTGCCACGACGACGGCTGCTGCTGCTGCCACTGGCGCACCCACGGCAGTGTCTGACTGCCACCTTCACGGAGTCACGGTGTAAGCGCTTCTTTCTACTCGGTAGTAATCTTCGCTGACGAATTTTCCAGCTTCTGTATGTGGGGTACTACGGAATATCAGGTCATGACGACGCCCACCAACACTGCCGCCTCAGCGATACCAACAGCCTTCACTGGTTGTCATGCCCACGGCACTGATACTTACTGTCTCGCTCCCAATGGAGATGATGTCGAAATTGTTGCCGAGGGTGCTGAGTCTTCCGACCATGACGACACGAGCGGAGAAGAACCTCAGGGAGAAAACTGCCACTTCCACGCCGGTGTCGAGCATTGCGTTGGCGCAGGCGAGAGCGAGAGCAGTAGCGGCACGAGAAGCTGCGAAAAGGTCACGCGAGACTATAACATTCCTCTGCGTGTCGGTCTTCTCTTTGTAATTCTGGTCACTAGCGCCTTTGGAGTCTACTTCCCCATCTTCATGATCAAGTGGATGCCCACCAAGACGCACACCATCTTCCTCATTCTCAAGCAGTTCGGCACGGGTATCATCATCTCTACCGCCTTCATCCATCTGTACACCCACGCCCAGCTCATGTTTGGCAATGAGTGTCTGGGCAGTCTTGGCTACGAGGGAACCACCTCTGCTATTGTCATGGCTGGTATCTTCCTGTCTTTCCTGGTTGAGTACATTGGAAAGCGCATGGTCTTGGCAAAGATGGCCGCCAATCCTGGCGCAATGACCCGTTTCTCCCCCGAGACAGTCACCGTCCTGGTCCTTGAGTGCGGCATCATCTTTCACTCTATTCGTACGTTGCCCTTTCAGATCACCCCCTCACTGTAGAACACTAACAATGGATTGAACAGTGATTGGTATCACCCTTGTTGTGGCTGGTGACACCTTCTTCCTGACCCTCTTTGTTGTCATTCTGTTCCACCAGATGTTTGAGGGTATCGCACTGGGCACTCGCATCGCCCAGCTCGGCCAGCCGACCCCGGCTGAAATGGCAGAGCGTCCTGCCCCGAGTGCGCCCGCCGAAGTCGAGCAAACCGCCTCCGCCGAGGGCAGCCTCAACTCCCTGAAGAAGCCCAGCTTCTCCCTCGTCAAGAAGCTTATTCTCGCCTCTCCCTTTGCGCTCGTCACACCCATCGGGATGGCCATCGGAATTGGCGTCCTCTCGCAATTCAACGGCAATGACCGCGACACAATCATCGCTATCGGTACCCTCGACGCGCTCTCAGCCGGTATCCTCGTCTGGGTTGGTGTTGTGGAGATGTGGGCCGAGGACTGGATGCTTCCTGGCGCGGAGCTCCTAAGCACTGGCCCGATTGTTACGACTCTTGCTTTCTTCGGTCTCATCGCCGGCATGATCATCATGAGCGTGCTCGGCAAGTGGGCTTGAGTTGTTAATTTTCGAATAAGGATGATAGAAGGATGAGAGTCTCGTTAATGATGAGTCGTGGTGCTTACCCCTGCTACGGCTACACCTCTAATGTGGAAATGGGAAAAGTTTGTAGATATTGGGTCGGTCCTTTTCATGATAGATGTTATACCCTGAATGAGTGTAATGACAGTTTGCGTTCCAGAATCGCCTAGAAACCCCCGTACCTCTCCATGCATGAGACCTTGGAGGTAAACCTCACCGATAAGCGCGTGACTTTCATCGTCTAATACAGGTCTGAGAATGTAGAACATGTTCGCTCCAGGAACCAGCCAGACTTTATCGCCTTGGACGGCCTCAGCCGGAGCCAGGCCGACAAGACCGCTCTCCGTACGGATCAAACGGCGGCGATTGAAGCGTCCCATCATCCCTGGGTTGCGATGCCAATCCTCTTGGCGATATATCTCCACCTCTTCACCATCTTCAGATCTCGGTTCGATTCCTGCTAGTCCGTGGAAGGCTTCTAATACAGTCTTGTTTCCGGTCGCGTACCTTTCACCGGGGTTCTTCAGGGTGTACGTTGGGTAAGACTTGTTTCGAGGCACGCTCAATGCGTCAAAAGCCTCCCATGCTTGTATCACGACATCAACCTGCACAGCTGTAATCTGCAACCGAGTCTCGTCCAGCACTCTCCAAGGTCTTGTGTCAACGAAGTACCCCTTACTCGCACAGACAACTTGCTCTCCTGTAGTGACGTCTCGCGAAAGAACTTTTCTTGGGAGGACCTGCCAGTCTGGCACCCAAGAGGGTAGGTCTGATGACCCGAAGCGGCAGATTTCGAGGATGCTTAGAGGCCAGTACTCTCCATCTTTTAAGAGATAATTGGCGACGGAGGTGTAGAGTTGTTGAACAGTGAGGGAGTAGTCAACAGGAATGATAGGTTCCTCATTTCAGCGGCGCATAGATGCGATCTCGCGGGTCCGTTGCCTGAAGATCGCGGAATCGTAAGAGGAGGCTGATGAGATTGAATCTGTGGACCCCTGGTTTTTTCCCATGGCTTGGTTCAACCTGATGGATCTTCTCAGACGCAAAAGCGGCTTTCATCCCGCCGGACGATCCGTCACTTTCGTTAGAAGCCGCCATCCGCGCATAGCTCATCTTGAGATCATGAACAACTTTCTTCACCCTCGCGAGCGTGGCATCCACAAACGAGGCATCCGCGCCCCGTCTCCGCAAGTCATCCCTGAGCCAGTTCAATGCTTGCGTATAGAGGATCGTGGCGGGCAGGAAGGCAGTACGATCTACCCATGCCGTGCCGGAGAGGAAGACCCCGAAGTCAGTGGGAGCGGTATACTCCTGCACCGTCCAGACTTGGTTCCAGTAGGTTGACTGAAAGACTCTGACAGTCTCACGCATTGTTGTATACCGGTCCTTAACGTGGCTGGGAAGAAGTTTCGGCGGTCCTTTACTGTTTTGAGAGACGGCGAGCGCGTGGTCGCCTAGTTCGCGGAGGTACGTCAGCCCCGGGGCGAGATCCGGATCGAGCCAAGTCAAGACTAGGTCTGCTGAAGTATAAATCTCCCGCATCTGTGAGACCTGATGGCTTCGTTCTGTTGTATCTGCCTGGTTTATCGATATGGCGTCTATCCATAGCGGGATAACCTGCGATGGCTTCAGGAAGAGGCGGATGTGCTGAAGGGCGGAGTGGAGGTTTCTTGTGGCTTGGAAGACGTGGTTGTCGACGTAGATGGCGAGGGTGTCAGAGGGACTGCCCCAGACGTAGGAGAGGGCTGTGTATCCTGCTGATGAGAGGGGTGTTGTTTCGGTTGTGAGGGTTACTGGGGTTGAAGGAGGCCCCGCTTGAAGGTTGACGAGGCGTATTTCATTTTGTTTGAGGGGGGTATAGGAGAGGGGAGTGGCTTGAAGAGGGGGAGGGGACTTGCGGGTGAAGAGAGTGCGGAGAGGTGACTTTGAGGGTTTGATTAGGAGTGGGAGAGGTGGTGATGAGGGGTCCAGGGCCAGATTTGAGAAGGGTTCGTCTATTTCGTTTGGTCTCGCCATTGTATTTGGTTGCACTGTCTCATTCGATTTCTCTAGGATTGGGGAGGATTCGGGATGAATAAGCGACAGGAAGTTTGGAATAAGGTTGAAAGACAGACGTGAGGACTTTGGGATGTGAGATTGCCCAATCAGGCAGCAGCGTTGCACTGCATCCTTCGATTTCGGAACAGGGGGAAATGTGGCGCTAGACCCGGGGCTGACAGGTGAACATGAGGAAGTGGCTGATGCACAATCATACAACTACTGAAGCAAATAGAGGATGAAGTCTTTTTTCTCTCTTCTCTTTGTACGAGAATTGCCATCCATAATCTACTCAGGACATGGAAGTCGTCTGGATGAGAATGAAATTGTTTCTGTCAAGTTAAGCCTAAGACTCTGAAGGTGATGCTAAACCCCGTAAAGCTGTTAGTCGACCTGGTTAGGAGTTACAACAGTATGGCTTCTCCATCGAGTTGTTTCTTCAGTGATCGCGATAGCTTTGTCAATCTCGTGAAGTCTAAACTTCCGAACCTGAGTGCCACTTCCAGTGCTGATATCAAGCTGTCCTGATTCGATTAGGGTTATAGTCGTCGAGTTAGGCATAACGATCGAAGCTGTGCTGCGGTTGTAGGCAATCTTGAGGAAATGAAAAGGAGTTACGCAAGACTTGGTAGAGAAACATCAACATAACAGCCTCTTTTTCCAGTGCAAATATATACTTGATTCGTCATTGACCATAACCAAACTATACTCATCAATCACTCCGAATCTCGGTATTCCTCCTGAGCTGTGCATTACATCGTTCATTCGGTCCAGCCCGGAGTTCTCTGATATGCTAAGCTTCTTGTACCCCTGTCCACCGGTCACCCCGGTGTCCGATCCGATCTTTCTCCGATCCTAGCACGTCACTCCGAGGCCTCTTCTTCTCTGTCACACTTCCCATCTATCATCAAACTTCGCGCGCTGCGCCGGCCTCACTCCATCCGACTTTGACTGCTAAACCACGTTTATTGTGTCGAGTGGCTGAATCTGATCAAAGTTTTACCCGGCGATGAGTTCGAGACAGGCCGCCTGTGAGCCCTGCAGAAAGTCAAAGCTTGCGTGCGGCCACGAACGGCCCACTTGTCTCCGGTGCAGACAACATGACAGAGCCGGCTTATGCGCTTACAGAGCATTTCCCTTCAAAAGAAAGCAACCACCAAGCGCCTACTTGCCCGACGCCGAAACAGTCTCTCCGTATGAACCACGCCGCTCTCCACAAATGTAAACCTCAGCCTTTACGGGTGATGTAATCTGACCTAGGAACCATAGTTTACGAGAGCCTTCTCTGTCTTTCAGTCCGACGGATCGCGAACATCCGTACCCCAACCCAGGTTATCTCGGACAGTCAAGTCATGTTGCCATTTTCGATCAAATTCGCCAACAACATGATGAGAATGAGGAAAGCGCAGGGTCCAGCCTCAACTTGCCATCAAACCCTGGCCGGCGGTTGAGGCTCATGTCGTTTGAATCCCAGCAAGCAAAACAAGGCGCTGAGTGTTTAAAGCAAATTCTGCGCGGAAACAATTTGTGCGACATGAAGAGCCTTGTCTGGTTTTTGCGGGCAAGAGGCGCTAACCTGGCTCTCGCCGGTCCTTTTGTAGAGTTGTGTTGTGAAAGCGTAGATTGCTCTTCGCTATCTACCTTCCAAGGGGAGACTTGGCACAACGCCCTTGCCCAGAAAGTGGTAGAGAACACAGCATATCCGCTCAAATATGATGCTAGGACCGATTTCTCCGACTACGTTGCGCAGTTGACTCACACACATACTCGGTGGGAAACAATTGGTATATTTCTCTGTGCAGTCCTGAGAGCTTCAATGGACACCCCCTTCTTTCCCTCTCTGTTTAACTCCTCAGTTCAGAAACGCGACTTCTGCGCCATGCTGATGCGTCAAATCGGCTGCATACTAGAAGTCTGCTTGTCTTTAGATTGTCTTAATGACCTGCAGCTTCTCTTACAGTATGAACGTTGCATAATTCACTCTTACGTGGACGGCGATCAGAGTGGGTGGTGCAGCCTGGGCTCGAGGACTTGTCTGCTTACAACTCTGACAGGTTACAATTTGTGGCGAAGCTTAGGTGATGCTGTTTCGTCTACTTTCGCGCTGGGCTACCATGAAAACATGGAGAACAAGCCGGATACGCCATACTTCCTTGTGCAGTTGCGCAAGATGGCCTTTGCCCGGATCTATTCCGCGGACAAGAATGTCTCCCTGTTTCTTGACAGGCCATTACGCATGAGCAAACGGTTCTGTCATTTTCATCTACCAGATACACTCCCGCCCTCGGAAACTTCGCCATCTGATGCCCGGCGTGGGTTGGTTTACTGGCTGCCGAATTCAGCCATGGATTACAGGTCAGAGACGCGCTGGTCAGCACTGTGTGCGTCGATCAAAGAAGAAATCATGGAGCTTCTCTTCGACCGTAGTGGCGCGGATCATACAGCCAAGATCCTGTGAGTTTGGTCATACTTATGGCATGCCCGTCCATGATAACTAACCATTGAAGTGAACTTGAGAAATCAACCGAGGAGCAATGGCGTGCACTTCCGGATAGATTTCGTTTTGATCAGCGACCACCAAATAACGCCACCCCCTTCGAACGTGATTTTTTGTTTAGCGTCCATCTCAACCATCTACATGTCAATCTTCTGTTGAGGCGTCTGACTTTGAAGCGCCAGTCAGAGCCCGATGGTGCTGTCATTGAAATAGCCCTGAAGATGCTTAGCTTGGTGGTCGATATTGTCCTCACTCGAGATGAACTTGCAAATTCGGGCACCAATCTCAGTTGGAAAGTGAGTATCTTTGCTCTTGCTCCATCATGTTTCCTTCTAACAATGGTCAAGGTCGCTCACTATGGGCTACCGGCAGCTGGTATGGTACTCCTTGCAATGGCAAGCCAGATAGATGCCCCGGTCTTGGTGGCAACACGTGCCAAGCTACTACGAGATCTCACCGTACTGGCCGCAGAAATTGAGAGAGGAAGAATTGTAAAACTTGAAGATCCGAATTACGCTTTGTTGGCTAAGGCCGCTAAGACCATTGGATGTTTTTTGGATTCGGTCTTTAGTGACGATGGGAGGAACAGGAGTGGTTTGAACATCAGTTTATCAAACAGTAGCCCTCGGCAAGCCACGGACGACAATTCATGGGCGGAAATATTGGGATCGGATGCTTGGGACTCTGAACTAACATTCTGGCAAACCCTCGCGGATCACCCTAACGTGTTCAACCAGTACCTAGTGTAGGCCTAAAATTGGCCTAAAATTGACAAGTACTTTCGGCCTTTGTGTGATGCAGGGAGATATGATTTCCAATGGATGCAGTGGAAGCTCAATTTCGGTTGGCTGTCATGGGCAGACGCAGAATGCAGCTCCGTTAGTCAACAACTAACGAACTTTAGGTCATGGCTGGATCTGATTGCGTCCTGCTACCATGAAGATCTTCTGTCGTCGTGTCTCGATTAGTGCCTTTATTTCGCTCTCGGTAAGCAGCTTGGGAATGTCTTGTGAGGGCCACCACCAGTGAGCAGTCAGGCCGATTCGGGGTTAGTCTTATGTGACGACTATGAACATGCGTCTACCTAAGACATGTAATTGCGCAATCTTTCGCTCTTGTGTATCAAGAAGCATGCCTTACATACGGAGTATTGGCATGCCTCTTCCGGCTCCATCCTCTTACCCCGTTCCGAATCCGTTCCGTGTCGGACAAAGCCCCACTCCGACTCCCATAAGCAGATTGTCGAAGTCATTCGTGTACCAATAGAGTGGTCGGGACGGACAAGATGCTCGCCATCATGTTTTCTCCAAGGGGCAGAAGACTGAATATCGTAAACAATTTGGGCAAGTATTGTGCCTTCTGCAACCCATAAAGTACCCTTAATTGCGGGATGGATCGGGATATTGCGACTTCAGGACTCCAACACTGACTTAGATGAGGGATTAGTTCCCCCCGATTGAACAAGCTTTATGACCGACCCAATACTGTTTGACTAATTCAATCTAGTCGGGCTCTCTGACTGATCTGACCCTCTCCGACTCTGAACAGCCCCTGTCCGATCATGTTGTACTATGACATGAATTCCTTTGGTTGGCGTATATGATAAGCCTGGTTCTCAACCACTGAATGTGATGTGGAACTCTGATAATATCTCAAGCTTTCAACACCTTTACGAAATAACCTTCAACATGACTTTCAGCGATGATCTTATCAAACTGCAACAAAACCGCTCAGCTCAAGAACCTCTACCATCTGGTATCGCTCCATACACTTGCTCTGCCTTCTTCAAGAGCCGTGAATATGGAATGAAGCCAAAGGCCCGGCGCTGGGATCATCTACTCAGCAAAGAAAGTCACAATTTGAAACCTTCACCCCTCAAAACAGCTTCACGAGCCAGCGGACAGAAGAAGCTGATTAGCTTAGGCACAGCTCGTCCCGCTCCAGAATATTTCCCCTGGGAGTCCCTGTCACTTCGATGCCTTCAAAATACCGTTACCGGGCAGGCACAACCTGCGCCAACGGTGTCAATGGCTTCAGTCAAGCTTGAGCAGTCATACGACCTAGGTGTGGCAATGAACTACGGGTTCTCTGGAGGATCACCTCAGGCGCTGAGATCTGTGACGGAACACATTGAAATTATTCACAAGCCTCCTTACGATGATTGGGAATGTTCCTTGACCTGCGGTACGACTTCGGCCATTGAAATTGCATTCCGTATATTTTGCAATCCTGGGGACACCATTCTTACTGAGAACTACACTTATTCTGAGGCCATGACTTGTGCTCATGCCCAGGGTCTCCACATACTCGGCATCGAAACGGACGATCTGGGCCTACTTCCAGACGATCTTGACCACAAACTTCAGACATGGGACTACACAAAGGGTCCAAAGCCATCAGTCTTGTACATGGTCCCGACTGGACAGAATCCTACGTCAACTACGCAAAACCTGATTCGCCGAAAACACATATATGCCATTGCAGAGCGCCATGATCTCTATATCCTCGAGGATGACCCGTACTACTTCCTTCAATTGGGCAAATCGGAACAGGCACTTGCATCTACACAACTCGACAAGACAGACGCAAATGAGGAGTTTTTCAAGTGTCTTTCACCCTCATATCTTTCACTTGATGTGTCTGGCCGTGTTCTTCGCATGGACACAACATCCAAGATTCTCGCTCCGGGTCTGAGATGTGGGTGGGTCACCGGGAGTTCTCAGGTCATTCAGAAGTTGGTGTCATACTACGAGATTGGTGTGCTATGTCCCAGCGGACCGTCGCAAGTCATGTTGTATAAGCTTCTAGACGAGACTTGGGGCCACGACGGCTTGTTCAATTGGCTTAGGTCACTATCGCTTCAGTATCGCTGCCGGCGCGATAATCTGCTGGAATCATGTGAGCGCTTCCTTCCCTCTAACCTCTGCGAGTGGAACATCCCGGCGGAGGGCATGTTTCTGTGGATAAAGGTGAACATTTCCGGATACCGACAAACACACACGGCCAGCCATGGAGATGGTAATGTGGCTCGCTATCTTGCTGTTGAAGACAGGATTTATCAGAAGGCCCACGACAACGGAGTTCTCGTCAGCAAAGGAAGTTGGTTCATTGCGGATGTTCAGACACTAAAGGGTGTCAACTTCCGATTGACGTTCGCGGCTGCGCCTGTGGGCGAGTTGGATGAGGCTTTACAGCGATTCGCCAGGGCTCTGGAAACGGAGGTGCGCTGAAGCTTACTCGTGTCTTAGTGCAGCTTACATGTAGAAGATAGGATTATGAAATAGAGGAGTATCTAAAATCGCAGTCTCCAAACCTTTACCTCAACAGCCAACGTACATATATGCCAAGCGGCTACACCGAGGCTGAGGCAAGCTAAAGTAAATCAGGAAATGTGTGAAACGTGCCAAATGTCTTATGGCTAAAAATCTACAAGGTAGATTCCCAGCCACCCTCCGCCTCGAAGATCTCGCCGACCGCCTTGGAGACTACCAAGAGATGACGGTCATGATACCTGGGAGCTACAAGGGAAACGCCAACGGGCATCCCGTTCGGACCCTTGAAACCTGGAATATTGACGACGGGAACATGCAGCGCCTATCACCCTTGTTAGCACTAACTGCCCGAAAGATCGATTCCGAGCGTGACCTACTGTCCAAGGAGCGTTGAAAGCTGCACTTCCGGTGCTCGAGGTTCCTTCCGGAGCCTCATCAACGACGCTAGGCACCAGAACAGCATCGTACTTGGCCAGCATCTTGTCAACTTTGGGCCTTGCGATGGCAATGCTGTCAAATGCCTCTAGCTGCTCCGCTCTGCTGATCTTGTTGGTGTTATCAACATGCGAAATCAAGAACTCGTGCAGTTGATCCTTAGCAGCGCGGTAGTCGGGCAGGAAAGCGGATCTTCCGTCGCTGTGCAACACCGTAGCATGCCACTGAGGTAGCTCCTCAAGCTCGGGATCGAATTCAATCTCTTCGACCTCGGCTCCGTGAGCCTTGAGAAGCTCCGCAGCCTTCGCCATCGCGGACTTGGTACCGGGTCCAGCTTGAGGCCACACCATCGTCTTCAACAGAGCGAACTTGGCGCCCTTGACAGCGAAGGTGTCCTTCGGGGGCTCGTCGTCTTTCAAGTCAAAAACATCGGCCATCAATTGCAGGTCTTCAACACTGCGGGCGAAGAAACCGAGGGTATCTAGGATCAAGGAGTAAATCTTCTGACCCTCGCGCGTGATGGAGTTCCATGTCGGCTTCAGGGCGTAGATGCCATTGAAAGATCCTGGGCGGATCGTGCTTCCGCCTGTCTGGGTGCCTAGGCCGATCGGCGCTTGGAAATCCGCAATCGCGGCGCCTGATCCTGACGAGGAGCCACCAGGGGTCCGAGTCGTGCCGTGTGGGTTCACTGTCTTTGGACCTTGAACCGTCGCTGCGAATTCGGTCGTGGTTGTTTTGCCTACCTTTGTCAGTATCGCATTGCTGGGGTTGGGTTGAATTATCAGCATGGACCTACCAAGAAGCAGCGCGCCAGCCTGTCGCAAAATTATGATGGAACCGGCATCGACTTTGGGAGCGTCTCTAGCGTAGATCGGAGATCCGTGCTGTGTTGGCATATCTAGATTTCGATTAGTGCTCCTGTAGAATCACAGGCTAATATTCGCTGACCCTTTGTGTAAATAACGTCTTTGACTGCGATGGCAACTCCGTGTAGGGGTCCGCGCTTCTCTGGCGGTATCGCATCCATTGCCTTCGCTTGTGCAATCACCTGCTCTGGGTTCAAGTACTCCCAAGCTTTGACTACGGGGTCTCTCTCCTCAATGTGGGACAAGAGCGAGCGCGCGTACTCTTCCACAGTCAACTCCCCGGCCCTTATCTTGGCTGACGCTTGGGTCGCCGTAAGTCTATACGGTTCAACTGCCATTTTGTGATGGTGTTGCAGTTTGGCTATTGTCAAGAAAAAATATCAGAGATAAACGTTTTGACAATACAAACTCGTCAAGTGCTTCAGTGGGAGACGATCCAGAACAAGAAGGCGGGGTATTAACAGAGTCAGAGCGCCACGGTTGCAGTGGACTCTGTCCAAGGTACGCACTCAATAGCCTCGTGAATAATTCCGGTACCGTAGCTGTTCTGAGCTCCAGAGGTTCAGAAGGTAACTCTCGAGTTTGCAGAGTCTATGAAATGGGATGAGAACATGAACAAGATCGTGGAGTTCTCAAGAGTTGGAGTAATCTGGAGGCAATCCGGCTATTTCAAAGATGTTTTCCGGTGACTCCAACGGCCGTAAGAGGGGCCATCCCTGATACCCCAACCCCGCAGGCCGTTATCGTCGGCTTCAGATCCGCCGCCGCGTTCGTTTCCCCCGCAATATTTCCGCCTACGCCTTCAACAACAGACTGCGATACGTCCGATTCGGGATCTTTCCACCGAATGAGGCGTGCATTCTGATAATTGTTGCCCGAAACTCCAACGCTTACATTTTGAGAGGCCGAGGGTGACCCGCTGACTTACGCAACGGATTGCCTTTGCTGGCTAGCCGGGGCTGCTTTGGGGCGGCTTCTCCAGTCACGTCATGGCAACATGAAGTCAAAAGGATGCCAAGTAGTTGGCGGGGATTCTTGTCCCACGAGACGTTCTCATAACTTCTACCACTGCTGTGGTTCTTCTCATACTGTCACTGAGACTACCACACTACCTATTGTACCTAGCATTCTGCCTTCCACTAAGATCTTTTCCATAACTAATTCATCTCAAAAGCAAAGTAGGAGTAAGTGGGGGATTGAGTTCTCGACAGCCATCAATCATTAGGAAACCACAACTAGGCCTCCAATTTCTGCACTTTCTCTCCCAACTGCAATTCTTCAGCCTCGTCAATGCGCGGAGATGGCGGCGCATAAATCTCGCCTTCCCTTTCGCCCTCAAAGAACCCATCCCGGCCTTCTTTCGCCAGCCATTCGTAGTCCATCGGGGCATTCTCATAGCCCGGAGGATACACCTTGGTCTTGAAGAACTGCACTAGCACAGCATACAAGATGGCTGATGAAAAAAACGTCAACACCCAGCCCATCATGTACATGTACTTGGCCGGTTGGCTGACAATATGAGGCTGGTATTGCCCGACGAGACCGGGCAATCCCATTGCCGTACCGCCGATCCAGGCAAACACCCCAACCCAGTTGACTCCAGAATTGAACCAGTAGAGACCCTCTTTAGAGCCATTATACAGCGACGGCACGTGTATGTTACCCTTTCGGACCAAGATGTAGTCGAAAATGATAATCTGATGAGAGTCAGCAATACGTTCTCAAGACTAGTTTTCAAGACTGGGCGTTGAAGTACTCACAGCGCAAAGGGGAGCCATGAAGATGTTGTAACTCCCGAGGAATGAGATGAACGCGGACGCGTTCGCAATAAGCTTCCACGGCAATACAACAATACCGAGGATTGCACAAACGATCTGGCCTCGACGGATCGTCAAGTACCTGGGGAACAGTCCAGTCATGTCCGCGCCAAAAGGTAGCGAGTTTGCTCCAAAGTTTGTCGCCAGCACGCTGAGAATGAAACTGAACGATACAAAGAAGACACCAGCACGGGCGGTCGGATTCCAGTAATGATCAAGGATGGCATCAAGAAGATCCCATAGGTTCCAGTAGGCCTTGCCCCAAGCACCCTGTAATGAGGTCGTCGAAGCTAGGCCAAGGAAGAAGACGAGGATCTTCGCGAAGAAGACACATGCTCCTTGGAGCCAACCGGCATCTCGAGGCTCTCTGCAGTATCGCGCGAGATCAGGTTGGTTCACGAGCATTGGCGAAAGAGAACCCATGATGACATTGATGCCGCTCATGATAGCCCATCCGACGGGTGTTTCAGCTGCTGCCGATGCGCCTGCGACAGATGCAGCGCCAATATTGGAGATTCCGGTTCCATAGGACATACACCAGCCGAAGAGTCCGAAGCACGCGAATGGCATGATGAAGCCTTTCACGGTGTAGATGTAGTGAATATGAATCGGGTGTACCCAGGTCTGCCGCCAATGTCAGGGAATGCATGCCATTAGAGGATCGCATACTACATATACTCACAAACGGGAACTCAACCAGCCAAAGGAGGAAGAACGCCAGCAGCTGCTTTGAAGTGACGTCGGCACCAGTGGGAAGCATGTTGGGCCAGTTGTCCCAGCTGTTTCCAAAAATGCAGCGGAAGCAAACGGATAACAGGTTCGCGCCGTAGTAGGTCTGAATACCGTACCAGATGATGCACACAATTGCTCGGATAAAGATGAAGAAGTATGATCCATACATTCCCATCACCGATCGTGCAAGAACAGGACTTGAACAAATGTCAGAAAATCCAAAACGTGGGAGGAGATTTTAAACGCACTATCCTAGGTGGTACATCACGCCCGGTCTGGCCATACCAGTAACGACAATAGCGGATATGAGTGAGCCAAGAACGCAGGATACAAAGGCTTGTTGCCATGTCTGATTTTGTCAGCGCATATGGCCAACGATGCTGTCTTTTGATGACTTACCAGACCCACGGCGATGAGGGAAGACGCGACGTTCCACCCGGTTGTCCCAAACATGTTTGAGAACCAGTACAAAGGCAAGTTGTACCACGTCCATGTTCTTTGTTCTGGCGGCGTCGGCTCGAGATCCTTGTTCGACCACCTAGAGTCTCCGACCTGAGTTCGGCCTTCGTGAACTTCGGGAGCCTTGATCCATTCTACGAAGGCGTCTTTCGATTGGAAAGGCGCGGCTATTTCGCCTTTCGTTGGTATACGAAAGTGTACCATAATTAGTTGAACCTGTGGTGACCGAACAGCACTATCAGAACCCTATCAACCATCAAAGAGACATGTTTTCATGGAAATGCACGTCCTCTTTCTTCTTTGCTCTACAACACTGAGGGCCTTCGTCCATATTAGAGGCCCGGTGCTCAAGTATCAGCTCTATTGCAAGCCTGATTGTAGTTCCTCATTCGTCGGCGACTTTCCAGCCGATAGACAGTGCGTCACCACGCGAGCCCAGTGAGCTGTCTAAGCATGAGTTACAACTAAGGTATGATAAGAATTCGGCATGGCATGTGCGGAGAGCGGTGCTTGGCATGTAGATGGATAGGCCGGGGACCTGGTCTCGGGTGTGATCCACCAAGATAAGGCGGTGGCCGGCCGTTGGTCTTATCTGCGGTGGACGTCCGAATAGTTATCCCAATTCGGTAAAGATGCGGTCATCGGTAAGAAACTACAGACGTTTGCGTATCACTCGGGTTCTGAGTGAGGGCATGGTGCTAGGAGGCAGAGTCCTAGCTGCTTTGTGCTTATTCCCGTGGAAGGGGCAACCATGGATAGAACAACGAATGAGTTTCTGGATGTTCTGAAGGTGTCTGTACCATTGTAAGGCAATCAGAAGTAGAAGTAAAGCTGGATGATGACGCGAGCCATCACCGGACTAATTTTCTGGGCCAAAATCCCGTCATGAGCAGGCCGCGTGCTATCCGGGGGAGGGGGGCTTCGGTGTCCGAATCCTTCGATATTCCTAACGACCCATACATCTCATACTTGCGTTTGCATGAGTGTGTCCAATGACACTCCCGATTCTGATTGTGGAGGATCCTTGCAGGCGTTGTCCTGGCCCATTCTACTTCGGCTCGAAATTTTCCTAAGTTCCGACTTCGTATCCTCACTGGAGTATTCAACCATACATACAAGCCGAATCAAGAGAACGCTCGAGATGACTGCTCATGTTCAGACCGAGAACATGCTGGACAGGACATCTCCCGTAGATCTGGTCAACTCCGCGTCGGCCGGCTTCAACCCGGAGGGTCTCGTGAGTCCCCGCACCGGCCCACCGGTCTCGACGGCGCAGACCCGGAAGTCGAGGGTGGCCTTGGCTTGTAAGCGATGCAAAAGAAGGAAACAGCGTGTAAGTCATTGATATCGACAGCTAGATCACCATTGTTCATTTGCAGACTAAATACGATATGGAAGTGCGACGGCGCACATCCGAGTTGCAGGTCTTGCGTCAAGTCCAACTCGTCATGCGTCTATGAACGTGCACTGAGGCCGCACTATCCTGGCGGAAAGTCGCTGCAAGTCTTTCCCTTCATGCTGGTACAATTGTATACTTACACGAGCCTCAGGTACATCAGCGCACTAGAAGAGAGAATCGCATTTCTCGAGGCCCGGATGCCAGATTACGCAGAAGACCACTTTGTCAGGACATCTTCCGTGGCAACACCACCGGAACCCAAGACGGAAGATCCTCGGAGAGATTCACGAGACTCACTATCGGACGATGAGCAGTCCTCTCTAGTCAACGGCGTTGCGTACTTGTCGCTCTGTGCATCTGGCACAACGGACACTGCACCAGAGCCATTCTACCTAGGATCGAGTTCCGGCGCAACCATTGCGCGCATGATCCAGTCTTCCATCTTTCACAGCTCGGGCGGTAAAGCTGCGTTTGATGCTATGCCAACGAGTCAAGCTCTCTCATCGACTCCGCAATTGCAGCTCAAAGTATCGGTGTCCTCTAGCCCGGAGGAATCCCAATCCGAGTTCCCGTGCCCTGAGCAAGCGGAGGTGCTGTTTGATGTCTTCTCTGATCGGCTTCATACGCGATGGCCTATTCTGGATCGCAAACTGTATACTAAGCTATTCCAGAATCAATACGACCGTGGAGCCCTGTCTATTCAGCACCGAAGCATTATGCACCTGATATACGCCATATCCGCAAGGTTCCTACAGTTGATGAAGAAGCCTTGTGATGTAGATCCCCAGGTGAAAGTTCCCCGAAGGCAAAGCTTGCCGTGACAAATCTAACATGGTCACTGTCAGAAACATCTCACGGCGGCCATTGAGCCGATGGACTACATACTGGAACAACACAATCTAGCCACTGTACAATTTCTCCTCCTTCTCGCCGTGCATGGAACTAGAAGTCCCTACGGTGCCGGCTCATGGTCTCAGGTGCGGTACGCTGTCACGCTCTGCATAGAGCTGGGTCTCCATCGAAAGGAATCTAACACCTCGACTCACGATTTACGCGATCTCGAGATCAGAAGGCGCGTCTTCTGGTCATGTTACTGTTTGGACCGTATGACGAGTGCGGTACTTGGACGTACATTCGCCATCGCCGACAGAGACATAAATACCGAGGTCAGTTAGAGGAGAGCCTGCTGTGGGGACATGATGATGCTGACAGCTGTGTAGCTTCCAAGTGATAGCTTAGATTTCTGGGACTTGACAGCACTGAATAGCCCATTAAATTCACCCGGACTGCCTTGGTCAAACATGAAGCCTTTCATACACATTATTAAGCTCCGAAGGATACAGTCCAAGATCCACCGCCGAGTGTACCGAGTTGATAAGGACATTTTTTCGGTTTCTTCAGAGGAACGAGCGGGACTTGAGACCAAAATGGGACAAATTAGAGCCGAACTCGATGAATGGGTGAGGACAGTCCCCCATCATCCGACAAAAGGCGCCGGAGCAATAAGCTGGATGTACGACCCAGAAAGCGCTTATCATGACTCTAGAGATTTCTTCATCTTGTGAGTGTTTATGCCATTCTAATCTGGGCCATGACACCGAATGCTAATCGGGAGCTCAGGCAGTACCACAAGTCGGTCCTATCGCTCTACACTGTTTTCCTTCCAGTACTTCACACCTCTGACTCGAGATTCCTCACTACCGCTCGATCCGCCGCCTGCGTTTGCAGGGCATACAAGCGACTAAACCAGCAGAAGACGCTAAGCCACACCATGATGGCATTGCATTCATGTTTCATTGCCGGCTTGACGCTTGTATACTGTTTATGGCGGGAACATGCTCTCTTCTCGTATGACACGCTTGAAGCCACGAGGGCGTGCTCTCAATCCCTCACCATCTTCGGTGAGAAGTTTCACGGTGCGGTGAAGTATCGTGACATCTTTGATGCCCTCTCAGGGAGTCTGTTCAAGACAATTGTTAGCCCGCTAGCAGGTCCTGGTGGGGGATCACAGCCTCTAGATGTGGACTTGAGAGCGAATCCAGTAGGCGACCGATTGATGTCGCCGTCGACAACTGCACAAGAAGTACACGTGGCTATTGAACGGAGCAGCGAGACCGGGGAAAAGTCATCCATGGCCCATGCTATTTCCGACGCCGTGAAAGAGGCATTTATGGAGGTAGATGAAGAAGCACCGGGCGGTTGGCAGGGTTGGAGGATGTTCAACGAAATGGTGCAGCCTGACCTCGAACCTACCCACAGCCCGAAGAAAATTGATGGAGGAGACAGACCGCACGGCAAAAGTAATGGTTTTGAACTTGAGTTGGAATTCACAAAAGAGCTTGAGCAAGGGGCTTACTTAGGCTTGATGGAATCTGACTTGGGCTTTGGCGAGTTGTGAATGGTGAGCTGAATACCTACCTCGGTTCTGAAATCTCATTGTGGGAGCGTCATCAATAGGTTACGCTGATACTTGCTTACGTGCGCGATCTCCTTGACACAAGCGTCTGCATTATTCAACTTGCTGCACATCTTCGCAGAGTTGCAATTGATTGTTTGATTTGGCTCTTAGGATCTGTGATACTCGCGGTTGAAGTTCTAAGACTCGTCCAACCTCGTCATGTCTTCGCCGGAGTTCACGAGGCTTAGATTACTTGACTGCTCTACTCCGCCATACCTATCTAGTAGCTTAGTTAGATCTGAGTACATCTTGCAAGCAGAGGAGCACGGAAGTGCAGGTAGAAAGTAAGGATCCATGGCATATGTGACGTTCGGCGTCACTCAGCCTCACCCTAAGGCTCGGGAAGCGTGTCGACCTTTTGCGGTTGTCGACGTCTCTCTCCACAAATTCCCCGTGAAACATTGCAGCTGGAGAGTTTTCTTCTTTAATCTATGATTGAGTTGCTCTTTTTATCGCAACTTTGCAACTGGAAGTAAATACCAGGCATACTCGTCTCCTGTTGGGGCTAGTCTCATGCACGCTCGCCCCAGTCCTCTGATCCACAAGTTGCGAATAGCCTCCAATTTTCATCGGCTGATTAGTCATCGCCAGCGGGTCGGTTAGCTCAGTTGGTTAGAGCGTGGTACTAATATTTCATCAGAAATGTTGAGTAATGCCAAGGTCGGGAGTTCAAGCCTCCCACTGATCATTCTTTTGCTCCAACTCGAATTCACAACTTTTTGGGCTGCCTATTTATAAACTCAACATGTTCTCGTACCTGAGAATATGTCACTAGCTAGTTCTTAGACTGTTGAGGAGCAGGTTGAGGAGAAGGGAGGTGGTGGAGCGGTCTGGAAGATAGATTCAATACAAAGGAAACGAAAAGTGTCGGAAAAGCTTTCATGAATCGTCAATATACACATACCCTATCGATACCATGAACCTGATCCATCACGGTTCTATGCTAGCTGGCCCTTCTTATAGGGATACTTGGCCTTAAACGCCTCTGCAATCTCCGTCCTCGTAGCAACCCAAACGCCCTCCTTCTTCGCAATGTAATCCACAAAGTCCCTCAGCGCAGCCAGTCTCCCCGGCCGACCAACAATACGACAATGCAGCCCAATCGTCATCATCTTGGGCATCCCCTCCTGACCCTCCTCATACAACACATCAAAGGCGTTCTTTAAATGCGTGTAGAACCCTTGCGGATCGCGGAACCCAGAACCCGAGACGTGGAACTTGAAGTCATTACAGTCATAGCTGTACGGCACCATCAGACACCCCTTTGGATCAGCCTTCTCCCGCTCAGTGGGCAAATCAATCCAGTACGGCACGTCGTCGGCATATGTATCACTCGCCCACACAAGATCCTCTCCCATCTCTTCATACACCTGCGGCACAAGTGTCCTCGAGTGCGGCGAGTTGCGACCGTAGTACCACCCCTTGGGCGCATACCCCGTCAAACTTTTGAGCGAAGTGATACACTTTCGGATGTACTCCTTCTCCGTTTCAATCGGCACGTCATGGTAGTCGATCCAGCGGTAGGCGTGTGAGGCCACATCGTGACCCTCTTCCACGCACCGTGTCGCGACCTCGGGCTGCTCCTCGACGGCCTGGGCGACGGCGTAGAGAGTGAACTTCATCTTGCGGGAGTTGAACAGGCGGAAGAGACGCCAGAAACCCGCGCGGGAGCCGTATTCGTACTCTGACTCGACGCTGTAGTTGCGCTCGTTGTACTTTGCGGGGCCCATGGGGTTCTCGCGGAGGTTGGTTTCCGAGACGCCGTCGCCTGCTAGGACTGATCGTTCGCCGCCCTGTTATGGGAGTATGTTAGCTGTTTACTTCTTCTACCTGTCCTTCTTGGATCGAGGAGTTAGGGACCAGGAAGACGTACCTCCTCGTAGTTGATGACGAAGGAGACTGCGATTTTGGCGTCGTTGGGCCATGGGCAGGCAAGACCTTTCTCGCCGTAACCCTTGAAGTCACGCGGGTAGCCATAGTCTGGGTGGGCGTGGTATGCTTCCGGCATGATGAAAAGGTACTTGTTGATCAGGTAAGACGACTAGATTCTTGGGATTCTGTGATGCTTCAAGACTAAGTCAGTGGCAGAAATAAGGGCGCGAATGTTGAGTGACACGTCGTTCACATCTCGTGTCAATGACCTCGGTCAAGCGTACAAATAGCAAGCCCGAGACTGCGATCGGCCAGAATCAACCAGCCAATTGTCCATCGGGCGACGCAGTCCGCCATTCGTGGCGCATGATCACGGCTATCTGCTGCACTGGGCAAAGAAGTCTGCGGACAATCCCTCCCTATCAGAGCTGATGCCTTCATTCCCCAGCTTGTTGCAGCGTGCAGCGCGTTATCACATCGCCCTCGCGCGCACACACATCTCTTGGGGTCTGGAGGATGCAAGGATGTAAGCTGTTGGAGGCGTTACATTCAGCAGGGATGGTCGCCCTCCATCGGATGACATCAAACCGTTGGAGTACTTCGGAGATTTCTGTCGACCCAGGGGTGGTGATAAGGCGCGGGGTTGTCGACGGGGTATCGTTGGCTGTGGGGATTGTTGATAACAAGATTGATCAAGGGGCATGAGGGGATGCATGTTGATGTAATGCCCAGGCCTGTCTCTGACCGGAGTCTTGACCGGGGATAGCTTGAAAGGACGGCAAGTTTAGCATTGAGTTGCGGGATGGGAGTCGGGCTGACTTCCGCTACTCCGCGATGAGATGCTCGGCAAGTCAATCGGATATCCGCACGCACCCTAAGGAACTCTATGAGAAACCTTGAGCTTGTTGTAATGTGAAGAGTCTTTCCAACACCTCCCTATGCAAGATCGCACATGAATCAAATCCGCCAAATGCCACTGATGCCACGACACTTACCCATTGCCGTGTTCTTCTGAATGCCTAATGCCTTATGCAAACGTATCATCAAGTTATCCATGCCCCTAGTTCTCAGTGGCCTTCTCTTGGTCACTCATCGGAGCATCCTCCGACGCCCCCTTCGGACCCTCCGAAGGCTCTTCAGACGGCGCAGCTTTCTTCGCCTTCAACCCCGTGTTTCCAACCCCAAGAGTCAACACGAGACTCAACCCAGAGCAAATAACATAATACACAAAAATATAATGCAAACCCTTCATATACGCCTCCAAAATCACGGTCTTCTCCGCGTCCGAAAACCCCTTTTGGTCCAAGGTATATGTCGACGAAGTCAGTTCCGCAATCACCGCATCGGAAACAAAGTCTTTCCCGTGAAGATCCCGTCTCAGCGTGTTGGAGAGTATAACTCCCGAAATCACGAGCCCGAACGCGCCTCCAATAGTGCGGATGAAGTTTCGCAACCCTGTCGTGACGGCCCGGTCTTCAGCGCGGGAGTTGGCATACATGCCCACCAGCGTAGGCTGCAACGTCAAGCCTATCCCCGCGCCCATGACCACGAGGATCGGGATCAGCTTTCCTAGACCTGTATCGCGGTTAAAGAGGATAGTGAGCCCATTCCCCAACGTCCAGAGGAAGAATCCTGCGAGGATGCAGGGCATGTAGCGTCCCACTCGCAGCATGTACTGCCCAGACAGTATAGACAGCCCCGAAGTCGTGATGATGACGGGGAGGATCAGCGCCCCGGAAACAAGGGGCTCATAGTTGAGAATAGACTGGAAGTATATAGGTAGGTAAAACAAGTTACCAAAGTACGCCTGGCCCATGAGGAACGTCTGCCCAAATAACGCACTGCAGTGCGGCGCCTGGTACAATCGCAAAGGCATGATGGGGAGCTTCGCCAGCTTCCACTCGTAGAGCACAAAGAGGACGGCCAACACAGCGCCCACAACGACTCCAGCGATGACGAACGGTGAGGACCAAGGGTACGTCACGCCGCCTCCAGATAGTGGGATGAGCAGAAGCAGCGTCGAGGCCATGTTGAGCGCGATGCCGCCGTAGTCAATTTTGTTGACCTTTTCTCTGTAGTTTCCGGGTCGGTGCTTCAACGGGAGACAGAAGAGGATCGTGACGGCGGCCGGGGCACTGATGATGGGGACCATCCAGAAGACCCATCGCCATGTCGATTCTTGAACAACTGCGCCGCCTACAAAAGGGCCGACACCGTTTGCGAGGGCGAGGACGGCGCCTAGAACACCTGAGTTGCGTGTTAATTCCAGTCAAAATTAGTGAAAGAGATCAAGACTTTGAACTTGCCCTGATATTTCCCCCGATTCTCCAACGTCGTGATGTCACTCACAATAATCATAACAATACTATTAATCCCACCCCCTCCAATCCCAGCAACAGCCCGAAACGCAAAAAGCTGCTCCTTCGTCCTCGAAAACCCACAAAGCATATCCCCAACAGCCATCAACACCAAACAAATCATCAACAAATTCTTTCGGCCAAAGATATCAGATAACCGCCCATTGATGAGCTGGAACGCCGTCGACGCGATCAGAAAGGACGTCCCGATCCACGAGGTGGCCGTCCCTGTGTCGAGATCCTCCGCGATGGCGGGCACGGCGGTCGAGACGCTGGTCTGATCGATGAAGGAGACGAAGAGGCAGACGGAGAGGGCGGAGAAGGCGAGGAGCATGCGTTTGCGGGACATTGTGTTGCGTTGGCCGCCTATGCTTTCTGCGTCGGTGTCGTCTTTGGGTCGGGGGTGCCCGACCGAAACTGCTTGGTTGCTGACATCTTCGTCGCTGGAGGGTGAAGGCGAGCGTAGCATCTGTTGTGATGGATGCGTTTGTGAGATCTGCTTGGCTTCGGTGATGGGTGCATCTTCCTTCATCTTGATAACCTCAACCTTGATCTGTAGGTTGTGAAATCCCTAAGAAAAGGTCTTGGCTCGAAATACAGTCCAAGAAATGTCGACGAAGTCACAACTCTAGACGGATCTCCCAAACTTCGGTGCCGAGTCGCCGGTTCTCACTTCCCCGGGAGGGTCTGGGGTTAGCATCGGACGCACCCGACCAAATGACTTGCCTGCCGGGAGTCCATTGCGTCAATCGCAATTGATCCGTTCACCAGAAATCCTCAACGACTCTCCCATTCTGGCTCGAATGTGGGCGATCCACCCTGGATATGTCGGCACAGGGGCAGGCGAGGATTGGGTGGCCGTCGTCGCCGATCGCACGTCCGACTTTCTTTGTCGGCACGTTTTGTGCCGATACGCATCCGCAGTGTCGGCTGTGTTCTGTTTCTGAAAGGCCTTCCAGTCTTCTAGGCCCCGGATGTTCTCCCGGGTGTGCGCTGGGCTTATGTGGGCCACATCAAGGCCAGCGTTGTGAAAATAATCCCTTCGTGTCGGTGTCGATGAGGATTCAACTCTGCTAAAGGCTGCTGGAGACGATGTTGATGATTGCGATGGGCGAGCAAGGCGCGGAAGTCGACTCGGCTTTCATCGGCATGAGTGTCAGAGAGAATGGACTGGGATCAGTTGCGCTAGCCAAGGTGTCGATGACGGGATACTGCTACGTCTTTGATTTTAGACTCTTCCATCGCATCTACCTTATTTTGACTTGTCATGATAGCTTCAAAACTTTAACTGCATCTAGTCGATTTCATCTACATCAGCTAGTCATGTCAAAGCTATTCACCCCGTTGAATATAGGGCCTATCCAGCTCTCTGATCGACTAGCCCTGGCGCCGCTGACAAGGTACCGCGCAGACGATGAATGGACACCGACTCCAATGATGGAGGGTCAGCATACAGCCCCATCGTTTCTCACCTCGTTCACTGTCTGACGTTTGAGGGCAGAGTATTATGCCCAGAGAGGCTGCGTACCGGGGACTCTGCTCATCTCTGAGGGAACCCTCATCTCGTACCGCACCGCTGGTCGTCATAACGTCCCCAGCATCTGGAATGAAGCGCATATTGCTGGCTGGAAGAAGGTTACAGATGCCGTGCACGCCAAGGGCTCGTTCATCTACTGCCAACTCTGGCACCTCGGTCGGGGTGGCAGAGCTGAAGTCCTCGAATCCCTCGGGCTACATCTCGAGTCCTCAAGTGCGATACCCGTAGCCGACGGCGCTGCTACCCCTCTGGAAATGAGCGAAAGCGACATACAGCAAGTCATCGAGGACTACGCGACCGCCGCGCGCAACGCTCTCGAAGCCGGCTTCGACGGGGTAGAGATCCACGGCGCCAATGGGTATCTCCCAGATCAATTCCTCCAAGATACCTGCAATAAGCGAACCGACGGCTGGGGCGGCAGCATCGAGAAGCGTGCTCGGTTCCATATCGAAGTGACAAAGGCTGTCGTCAATGCCGTCGGCGCCGATAGGGTGGCCGTTCGTCTCAGTCCGTACAGTGATTTTCAGGGCATGCTCATGGACGACCCAGACCCGACCTTTGAATACTTGGTCAAGCAACTGAAGTCTCTGGGGCTTGCGTATCTCCATCTCATTGAAGCTCGCATCAGTGGTAATGATGACACCGATTGTGGTGGACAGCGGACGGTGCGCTGGTTGATTGAGCTCTGGGACAACGCGAGCCCAGTCTTGCTTGCTGGTGGGCTGAATGCCCAGTCTGCAAAGGCAGCTGTGGACGAAACGTACAAGAAGTACGATGTTGCTGTTGTCTTTGGGCGGTACTTTATCTCAAATCCCGATCTCGTCTTCCGCATCAAGGAGGGTATTGAGCTGGACAAGTACGAGCGGACGTACTTTTATACCCCAAAGCTGCCAACTGGATACATCGACTACCCTTTCTGCCCTCAATTTCATTTAAGTGCCAGGAGTTGATGCTGCATCGCGACTTCGGATAGACACGGCGGGATGGTAGGAAATATGAACCGGGTATCTTTGCCTAGATATGAACAAATGCGAAAGTTTTGTATGAATTACATTACGCCATTATTCAGAGCTGTCGTATCTAGTCCGCGTCAATCGTACACAGTGTAGACGTTCTCCAGTGGTGTCTGCGTAAAGGACCTCAGCCACGCATGACTAGGTCTGGCTTGTGGCACCACCCCGGATCTTCATCGTCGCTCATTCTTCGCTTACAGTCCCAAGTCGATGCTGCGAGCCAAATCTG